GGGGTTACTCGTTGACCCTGCAGATGAGCCTGGAGTTGGGGGTGGGTTTAAAAAAAAAAACGACATTTACGTATATTAATGCTATTCACGCGGGAAAAAGACATCAAAACTGTGTCACCCCAATGCTATGGACTGTAGGACATGTGCTCCACGCAACGCGACAACGTTCCAACCCTTACACTTGGGGGTGGACCACCCCTACCTCTGCCCCCTCCCTTCAACTCCGAGGGCAGTTTTCGAAACGGGACCCTTTTTTTTAAACCTCCTGCCCGCTAGACATATTCTGACAACAATACAAACGAAAAGCTCTCAAACACGAACGTCAAGAAGTCACGAACGCCAGATAAGTTCAACAGTTATTCACAACTTGGTATTCACTATTTATCGTCCACGTTCGTTTATTATGTGAGAACAGAACCTGTAGTTCGCTTGCCCTGACGTAGAACACAATTATTTGTGCGTTATGATGCCCGCGAGAAACATGGCGGAATAAATCTACCGTCGCGGCTGGGCAGCATAATTTCCTTGCGTTTCACGGTTCGGAAACGTTGTGTACACAATAACGTAGATAGTACAGCATACTTTATTTAATTCCCTTCAGCGACTCCTTCGGTAGCGGGCGCCAGATAGCTAAAGTCGTCGGAACACGCGATGACGTTGTTTACCGTAACCTACGCAGAAGCGAATGAAGATGTACGACGGAACGTTCTCGAAATCAAATTAATACGAGTCAGTGCATTCTCGAGTCGAGAACTGCTCTCTACTGACCCTAGCCACGTCGCCATTTTCACGGTTCGTTCTTCTACAGACCATGGATAGTAGGAGCGGTCGTAAATACGATATACATGTTTAAGTTATGTGTTTTTGGAAAAGTAATAACTCCTTATTGGGGTCGTGAGAGCAAAGTAAAACACGGGAGTACGTTAATTCGACGTTTCAGGTTACAACGCCTTCAAGATTCATTCAGGGTTTAATTCTTTTAGTGCCGAAAAACGATATATCGTTAATCACTAAATTTGAGAAAAGTGCCGACAACGATACATCGTTTGCGTGAGTTACTATGCTTTTGCGCTTGAAAATCATAAATTTTGACTTCTTAGATGTCTTTAATGCATCAGAATTTGTTTACATTTTTGTTGTTGACGTTACATTTTGCTAATTCCAAAACTAACAATTGTTAGTTTCAGCAAAGGAAAATTATATTTTTTCTTATCCAACCCCTGGCAACAAGGTTTTGATCAGATATACTAATATGAAATTAATTGAAAATATCCATGTCTTAAAATTATAATATATTATCATACATAATTAAAATTTATGGGCAACTTTTATTACTTTTATTATTTGGGCAACAACAACAACAAAACTTTTATTTATTATCAAAAAGAAAAAAGAGAAAAAAGTTTTCGATCGGATTTATCAATTTAAATTAAGGAAACTAATATAAATATTATTGTTTTGTTACGTTCCCTCTTTCATGTATGACTGCTTTAATATATTGTGGCATTGAAGTTATAAGATTTTTACATTCCGTAGCTGAAATTTCTTCCCACGATGTTCTTATACCTAACCCAGACCCGACCCTAGAGAATTTCAGTTCGAGTCACGCGAAATTTCTTTCTGACGTCGAACACGTAATTCCACCGGTTAATTATTCTAACTAATAAATCACCGTGAAAAGAAGCGTTATTAATGAGAAGGAATGATGCAGCACGCGACCCGACGATAAAATCGTTGAACAATGTAGAAAATTTCTTGTCGGACGTGGCCCGAAGGCAACGAAGGAAGGAAAACTGTGTCACGGGGACTTATGGCTGGTCGATCTGGGCGATCGTTTATCCTCGCAGGTCAGTTCCCTTTAGGTCTGGCATGCAAGTGCCGCGTTGGGGCCGATCCCGTCACTGGTTTTGAAGGGTGGGTCTAGACAGTGGCAATTAGGCTTATCAAGTCTTACACGATACTCAAAGGTGCAATCTCGCTTTCATTTGAGAAAGTACGTTCTATGCCACTAGACCAGAGGTACTCAACCTCCGGAAATTTTAGACCTAGCATTCAATTTTTTATCTTTGTTGGCAGTTAAATTTCCTTAAGGTACGATCGGTTCTGAAGTAACTTAATTTAGTGCAACTGCAATATTTGTTTCGTAATAATATTTAGTTTAATTTATTTTTCTATTTATAATTTAAATGTGTTTATAATACACAGCAATTTTAATTTGATGCTGCATTTTAAAAGAACGAGAATTGAAATAACGAAATTTATGGTTCCCATGGCAATGACTCTGTGTCACTCAAAGTCTGTGCCTTTTGCCGATTGGAATTCATCGATACCAGTTTTAACTAACATCAATATATATATATATATATATATATATATATATATATATATATACATACATATATATATATATACATTATCACTCTATGTGTAAAAAAAATAATTAATTTGTAAGTGACGTAGTGAGGGACATTTAAGAAACAAATTAATTTTTTTATGGGAACCTTATATATTTTTATCCATATATATATATTTAAAAATAAAAGTTCATTGACTTGGCAGTTATAATCTTATATATATGGAAGGTATTGATATTTACGTATATATATATATGGATAAAAATATATAAGGTTCCCATAAAAAAATTAATTTGTTTCTTAAATGTCCCTCACTACGTCACTTACAAATTAATTATTTTTTTTACACATAGAGTGATAATGTGCCAATATGTAAAATAGAGTATATAAATATATTTTGTAAAAAATAGTGATAAAGTGTAACAGACCTGCATGGTCCGCAACCTGTGTGAAATAAAATTAATCAATCAATTAGTTTAGTATGTTCTAATAGAGAGTGACACAAAGTGATAGCCCAACAAATGTTTCTGGTTATAAGCATATAGATATAGAGAACGGACCAAGGAAATGTAACGTACTCAAACTGTAATGTTTATTTTGATTTTTAAAAATACGTATATTAGAATAATGGTTTAATGCAAGTATACGACTTAGCGCGTCTCGACCACACCGCTCAAATTCACTGCCCAGAAAACAACTGGCCTTTCGGCTAAAACATCCCCTAGAGTCTAGGACCTAGACCCTCGCATTCTTCCTTCACGCAAACTTCCCGTTACGGGCCCGCTGGCCCGTGGGTTTTTCCCATATATTTCTTTTTTTTTAAATAGAAATACATGTCTTTTTGGTATAGATTAAATCCTTTCGTAATTCTATGTACAAAAAGTATTAAGATAAAGTAAGGAAAACATAATTAGTTCACGAGATATTTTAACTAATCGTCTTTATTGAACAAGATGTTCTTGCATCAATGATGCTTAGTTAAAATCTAATCAGACCTTGAGATAAGAATATCGAATTCAAATATGAATTTCTTTTGGAAAATACTCAACCATTTAGGCACAAAATTATGTCAAACAATGTATACTCATTAAATATTACCTACAGTAAAATTATGTAGAATTTTTAGAATATAATTTGAGGGCTGGACTTCAATAAACAACACTTCTTTTTATTAACGGATCTTTATTGTATATTTTGCAGGGCATCAATTCTCTAGATATATCTTAACAGATGAAAACCACGCCGTGAACACAGCGTCGCCAGCTTCCACACTGGCGCATAGACGCACCATTATTCAACAAAAATAAATAAAAAAGAAACTATGTATAGACCAGAATATTACTCTGAAATCTTCCTAAACACTTAATAATTCAATAAAGTGTGTAAAGAAAATCAAATTTGTACCCTCTGCCAGACATAAATGACAATTTGTCTTGAATTATAAAGTAATAATTGATATTTACGTCAGCAGAAATCTATTAGCAATACAGAAAACCTTATACTACGTCAGTGAATATTGTCAACTTATTCTAGGAAAAATATGTTGTTAGTAGACTGCGGAAGTTTATGCACGATAAATATATAATATACATATGCAAAATATGCATGAAAAATATGCACGATAAATTTGAATAAAATATAATATAATCAGTTATTAGTTCAATGCATACTACGCTATTTCTCGGACTCGCGGACACATTCCTAGGGATTTATGTTGGTCACGAGGTCCGTCTTTCATTCATATGTATTAATCGATCAATTAGGAAACTTTGAACTATCGTCACTCAACGTGGAATCGTCGGATTCGATTCAAACAAAATTCAAATCGAAAAGCAAAATTTCTCTAATGTAACAAATAGTTATTATCAATGTTGGATATTATTAAACATTTGTTTTATTCGGTGTTATAATGAACGCAAAATATAATTATGGTTTAACAGTTAACACGCAATGTAGTGGTAGTTGACATCCTTAGTGTATCTTCAAATAAAATTCTATAAAATGTATATTGCTAAATAATAATATAGTAATTCTCAATTATTTAGTGATGAGATATTGAAATGCAGAAGATTATAACTGCCAAGTCAATGAACTTTCATTTTTAAATATTTTAGGAATATCTTTTTTTAAAGTCAAATGCAGAGTTAGCTATGAAAAGAACGACTGTTTGAACATTTTTGTTACCAATTCTATTCTACAGATTGCATCACCTGTCGGACAATAGCGTTGATGAAATCACTACTGCAATATTTTATTTATTGAAGAAATTTTTAATTGATACAAGTATAGGTGTTTCTACCTCACTGTATGTTTCCTTGAAAATCATGCGAGTTTTTAACCGACTTCGAAAAGGAGGAAGTTACTCAATTCGACATGTATATTTTTTGTTTGACACATTTTCTCATAAAAAGAAAATTACACGGATTATTGAAGTTGTCACTGTACATGATTCACAATACATATTAGATCGAGTCATAAGTAACTTCCGATGCAGCTAAATAGAATGTCATATATTCATTTCTACCCATTATGAGTTACCATGACAACAAGTTTTTGTTTTCACTATATGGACGAAGCTTCTGTTAGTCTCTTGTCAACTGTTTTGTGTGATACACGTTACGTTAAACTGGTTTTTTCACCTCTGAAATGGATAGTCAAAAAGCACATATTCGGCATGTGATGCTTTGTGAATTTAAACAAGGCAATAGTGCTAAGGCGACAGCTGACAAGATATGCAGTGTATATGGTGAAGGACTAATAACTGATCGGGCAGTTAGAAATTGGTTTATAAAATTCCGTTCTAGAGATACGACCTTAAAAGACAAACCGAGGGCGGGACGTCCTTTCGACTTTGACGACAACCTTTTAAAGGCAATATTGATGCAAAATCCACGTCAATCAACAAGAGGTATAGCAGGAAGGTTGAATACATCACAATCAACTGTTAACCGCCACCTGGAGAAATTAGGGGAAGTCAGCAAGTTAGGAGTATGGGTATCTCACAATCTCAGTGAATGGAATAAAGAAGACCGCATGTCAATCGCCACAAGTCTGCTCTCACGGGTAAAAAATGAACCCTTTTTAAACAGGATTGTAACAGGCGATGAGAAATGGGTTACCTATGACAATATAGTCCGCAAAAAACAGTGGCTTAATAAGGATCAACCGCCCCTACCAGATCCGAAAGCAAACATCCATGGCAAAAAGATTTTCTTGTGTGTATGGTGGGATTGTCAAAGGAATAATTCACCACGAATTGTTAAAGTCAAATTTAACGATTATTGCGGATAGATACGTTCAGCAGTTGCAAAGAGTGCTAGAGAAACTCCATGAAAAACGTCCCGCACTCATCAATCGCAGAAACGTAATTCTTTTACACGACAATGCGCGACCACATACAGCAAGGGTGACTCAAGAAAAGATTCTTGAGCTTGGATGGTCTGTTTTACCACATCCACCTTACTCCCCGAATCTTGCCCCGACAGGCTACCACCTTTTTTGTTCCTTACAAAACTTTTTGAATGGAAAAACCTTCAATTCTGAAGAGCAAGCCAGGCAGGCTGTCGAAAACTTCTTCCAGCCCAAACCAACCACATTTTACAAGGATGGAATTGATAAGCTTCCAGGAAGATGGGAGAAGGTTATAGATAATAGTGGTGAATACATAATAAATTAATATAATATTGTTATTTAAAGAGAGCAAAATAAATGTCTGATAAAAAAACGGAAGTTACTTATGACTCGACCTAATATATTCATTTAATTTATTTTTAAATTTCTATTAAATTAGTTAAAGTATTTCTTCTTTCTATGTAATTCACAATCTTTTTCAGTTTGCAGTATTCGGAAACAATCACAACAGATGTTGAAAACTTTACACATTAATAAGTTTACACTAGAGATACAAAACTGACGTCTTACGTTTTAATAGATCACACTAAAACTTAATAATTTCAAAAGTTACCATCTCACTTAAACTTCTGTGATCCGATAAATGTGATATCCGAAAAGCACGAGATACAGAATACTTCCTTACTTTCCCCTGACATAAGTATTAAACATTCTTGTGTCCTCCAACAGGATTTCTCGTAATTTACTCGTCACTCGAAAACTTACCGCAGCCTATAGCGAGTGGTTCTTCGCGTTTTGCGCTCGACGAGCGGAAGGAAATGTTTTCTGGCTGAATTCCTTCGTATCCCTCCTGCTGAGAAAGTGGATTCAGCGGGAACCGGGGTTGCGGAGCGGGAGAAATATTTCTTGTGGAAGTTTCGATTTACCTGACAGGTCGGAAGAACGATCGCGCGAATTTCAGATTCGTCGAGCACCGCCGCGGAAAGTTGCTCGCTCTCCATGCACAACCACGTAAATCAACGCGGATGCGCTGCACTAAATTCGAGCTGGGAACTTCGACATTACCGATACGCTGAATTAATCGTCAGCTTTCTCTAAGCGCGCGACGACGATAAGCGATCGGTAATTAAACGTCGATGCACGTGACGTGAGTTACTCGTTCGAAAAAAATAGAAGTAGCGTATTGTAAGAAAGGTTGGCATATGTTTAGCAATCTATAAATGGGGGACGAGAAGTAACTCCGACCATTGCAAAAAAGTAAACTTCCCTGATATTTTATCATATTTATTTTAACGTATCTGGAAGCATTAGCTATATTAAACACGCGTGGTTATTTGAGCGTAATTGCCTGATGTGTTCTAAATGATATATATTTAGAAAATCTTTAAAATTGTATGTTTTCTTTGTGCTTGGACAAACGTTAATCTACTTGGGATAAATGATTATGTTTATGTCAATCATGAAGTCAGGTAGCCCCGGTCACTATTTTGGCGGGTAGCCTCAGCAAGTACTTTTTTGGATAGTACCGGTCTTTTGTTTCAAATCTAGACTCCTCTTAAATATCCAGCTATGAAACCTTATCCCTAATTGTTATTGTGAAGGTTATCATTGAATCGCACTTCGAAAATAGACGGGAAATGATTCGCAAATCGCCCCAATAGTATGCTAAGCCGGCCGGTCCATTGAAATTACACTTTTTCTCATCGTATAGATGATCTAAATAGAAAAACATTATTTATTAATCATATCAATACTATAAATTATTAACTATGACCTCATTGAAAGACTTCATTGGCTTTCATTGACACGCGCATTGACTCGTGTCGTTATCAGGAGCTCTTGGGCAATCGTAATCTGCCTTATGTGGGACGGTTCCGATCGGAAAATGTTACATTTATGCAAGACAACGCATCAATTCACGTTTCGCAGTGCACAAGGCATTGGCTTCAACAAGATATGGCGGCAACTGTGGACTTGCTAACAAGATTTCCAAACCTTAAACTCATCGAAAATCTTTAGAGAATTCTTGTATGCTACGTGTACAATAATAACGCCACTACGACAACGTTACCCAACCGAAAACGACCATTCAATAGGTGTGGAATCGAATCACCACGTATCAGCTCATGAACATCGTTCAATCGATGCTGAAGCAAATGAATCTTCTCATTAGAAGCAACAAAAAACCTAGAAAATATTAAACTTTTAATTCTTTTGTTACAGCCGTGCAATGCATGTATAGCGGTGGTCGCCATGTCGCTGGTTCCCTCTACAATTTAATTATGTACGTTTATTATAGCAGAGAGAACCACGCTCTGAGTTCATCTATGTTTCTTTACAATTATATTATATTCAATTAAACCTGTGTCATTTAATTCCACTCGCGCCTCGATTCCTGTCATCATCTTTTTCTTTTCTTTTTTTTTAAATAAATTGAGTTTTTTCTAAGTGGAGCTATCATTTCTTTTTGGTTGAAAACCTGCTAATTTTACTATTGTACATACATGTATTACTCTGTTCCGTTGAATGAATATTTTTAATCGTAATTTTTATAGAAACATTTACTTTTAATAAGACAATAATAAATTTGGATTCTATAGAAACATTGATTCCCGAGTTGTACTTAAATGTTTGAAATGCTAACATTTTTTTTTACGCACCATATTATGCAATATGCAAAGAAATGAATCAAACCAATACATAAATTAATACTTATTTATTGTAAGCTATAAACGCAAGTGTAGGTTTAAGTGTACAGGAGTAAGGAAAAAGACAATTTTACTATCATACATACATAGTTTTTGCATAGTTTTTGCTTTCTTGACCGGAGAGTGCCGGTGGTGTGGCCCCCGAGGTCATAATACACACATACATGCATCCATGATAAAAAGTAATAAATATATAGGATTACGTAAATTTAATATTTCATGTAAAACTTCATGGTCGAAATGAAATATCAGTAATTCAAATAAGGTAACCAGTTCACCGATTTGGATTATATGATTTATTTTTCAATTTTCGTAAATATATTAGTGTTACAATTAATAAAAAAAATTACTTCTTCATTTATTTGCTTAAGAAATATTCAAAGTATTTGTTGGAAACAATACAATCCATGAAAGTATTAAATGTCGTCGACTGTAAGTATTTCTCCCGTATGTTCGACGGGTCGAATATATTTATAATATAATTTCTGATGAAGGATATTGCACCACCCGATAGTGGGACAGATTTATTTCTGATCGATCGTTTTAAAGTGAAGCTTTGTGCAAGAGACAGCTCTATTGTGCGCACAAATTGGAAACGGGAAGTCGTCTAGAAGCGGATCTAATTAACTGAATTAATATTTTGCGATTCAGATTTATTTTAAATCTCCATAAAATTGCTCGCCGAGGATTCAGAAATTCATCTATACCGAGTTAATAACTATATGCATTCATAATATGAAATACTAATCAAAGTGTATGCCTCAATAATATATCACCTGTATGGTCCACATGGTATTACTTCGCATTTTTTAAATTAAACATTCAAACATACTGAGGAGTAACAAGTAAAGAAAATTGATCGATGCAGGGGTCAATCAACAATAATTCAAAAAATAATATAATATGCACTTTTTAAATTATATATTGTAGTTTTCCTTTCTTTGCATTGCAATAATTGAGACAATCTTTTCACTTTCTGCTGTGCATAGTTTACTCGAAAAGTAATTTAATTTACGACTTATCCACGTTCCTTTCCAAACTTCTATTAACATACAAAAAATTAATGGAAAGTACCATACAATATAAAAGAGAATTTTGTAACTTCTACAATAATACAAACAAAATTTTTAAATATACCATGTTATCAATTTTAACAATGTAAATTAAAATTGTCTTTAACCAAAGTCAACTCAAGTTAGAGCAATGATTGCAAATCTTGGTATCTAAAACAGACTCAGTCACTTAAAGAGGTACTCTTTCAGTTTGGATCAAAAATAGATATTTTTATATACTTCTCTTGCTCGAGGTCTTTAAAATATTTCTATCAAGTTACATTTAAACAAATTATAAATTGTCAAAATTATAACAGTTTATATCACGGATCGTCCTGTTAGGCTAATTGAACATGAAACTTCAAACACATTACTCTCGAAACTTTGTTTTCTAAATATGTTAATCCGATATCTCAAAAACCGCATTGTCGAGAGTGTTAAAACTTTGCAAACATTATTGTATATGTATGAAAATTTTGAACTCGGTCGAAAATGCGGTTGGCCCGAAAAAGTTAATACTTTGTAAGATATCAAAAAATTCTAATTCACGACATAGCCAAAAGTGGTAAAATACATTGCTGTTAACTACGATATTCTTGGTATCCTGAAACTTATTACTTTTTCAGACAGTTAAAGACACAAATCTTGTGAAAAAATCGAACATTTAAGTTTAAATTGCCGCCATTTTATCAAGTTTCTTCTAATCCGTTTTTATTTCATTAACGCTATAAGTATATTCATAGGTAATAGAAGAAAAAAAATATACATGCGCAATTGAATAAACTCCTCTTTTTCGAAGTCGCTTAAGAATCAGTTTTCATTGGTTCGAAGCATTAGGGAGGCCTCAATCGCGTCTAACATAGTTGGCGTATTCCATTATACGTGACGTGACGTGGAATATTGTTCATAACTTCGAAACAAACCAAGTAGAACAGTTGTACATTTAATTGAATTTGTATATGCATATACAAACAAGTATGCGAAATTTCAAAAATTTATGTGAAATACTTTAGGTGCAAAAAGATCATAAAATATGCCTCAAAACTGATAAAAAAAAAACTAGTACTTCGTTAAAAAAAAAAAGATGCAGAACATAATACTAGAAGAAAAAAACAGAAAGACCTACGGACCACCCTATTACTCCTCGTGTTCCGTCTAATAGGAGGAAGAGGCAACGCTCTGATGCGTCTGGTGTTCTTTCTGCGGAGGATATTAACAAGCAACCCTGCTCTGTTATAAATAATTCTAATAACGCGTCTCGGGTGAAAATTGCCGGCTGGTCTCGAGTTTCCACGAATCTTCGAGGTAGCACGTAATTTCTCAAGCCGAACGTTCCCGGTTGCTCTCCGTTTACACGTAGGTACGTGATCCGCGTGCGTTCGTATGCATTACGGCGACGCATATTACATGGGACGCAGGGGCGTATTCAGAGCGCGACTTCGTCTAGCACGGGGAAACGAACCATCTTTCTGATGGATAGCGCGGTTGGTTTACGGGGCCAGAAAGCTCGGATTATATCCGCAGGCTCTGGCGCGAATGGGAGACGCGATTCGACAAGCGACGCG